AATATAGGGAGATAGTCCTTCGAAATATAGCTTAGAAAATCCGTGAATATGAAGATAAAAAAAACCATCATTTTTATACTTAGAAGAGTGTCACCAATTTCCCTCAAATATGCTGACCAGAAATTCAATAATAAATGATAGCCACCCATATTAAATTCAGGCTGAAAACTAGTTCAACACAACTTAATTCTGTTAAGGAATGTTGTAGAGATGTGCTTAAGGTGCGTGTGTTGTGTGTTTAATGTGAGTAGTTGTTGAAACTTAAGGTGCGTGGTTTTTTCTTCTTAAGATGCGTCGTGTTCCTTCTTTAGGTACGTGGGTTCTGTGCTTAAGGTATGTCACTTTTTGCTTGTGCTTCTTCCTTCTAGACACGTTTTTTTTTTTTTTTTTTTTTTTTTTTTTTTTTTAAATTTCATCAATTTGAATCGTTCTAAATTTTCATTAAACTTATTGAATCTCCCCCCTTATTTTGAAAACCCTTACTCTGGAAGTTTTCTTACTTGTTGAGATGTTGTCTAAAAATACTTTATGAGCTTTATTTTATTTTATTTTATTTTATTTTTATTTTTTTTAATGTTCTTTGAAAGCTTTGACTAAATGTTTTCTAAATGTGGGTCATTTGAATACCGAATCTATTTGCAGAGTATATCTATTTTCAGTACTGAAAGTATAAATATTTTACAAGGCGGAATAAATCTTACTAAGCATTTTTATGCTATTGTTATTGTTTTTTGTTCTCCAAATCCTATTGTTTTCAGGACGGGAATTGTGGCTAGTTTGAGAGCGCATTGTAGAGGCGTAACACCTCATGGATGGTAATAGAATAACTCATTTGGGTTGTATACCTAATACCTTGTAGTGGATTAGAATTCCTGAAGTTGTTTAATGTTATAGAATTGTAGATTTTCTCTTTGGATTGTATAGAAATATTATAGATAGATGGAACCCTTTTAGCATGTGCCTTTGGGTCTAGTTGGTAGTCCAAACGTGGCGGTAGCACCCTGTGTGTTCTAAAATGATGTTTTTTGCTTTCACATTCGAATTTCATCTTTTAATCAAAAAAATTTCCTTTTTATGAAATATTTTGGTTTTGAAAAATGGGGGTGTTACAATAAAGATCTAAAATGGCTATGGTAATGGTAGAAGCATCACTTGGAATCCAATAATCAGAACCACACAATTCATAGCTTAGAGACTAGAAGCACTTTACAATGGAAGGTCAATCCATACCCCATTTTCTCTCATTTGATTTTCTTGCTTATTTGTTTTGCTCTCTTGCACTCTTGCATAAGTTGGACACTTAAGGTGCATCAATTCAAATAAGGTGCATAAGTTCGAAACTAAAGTTGCATAACTTAGAATTTAAGGTGCATAAGTTCGACACTTATGCATGTGGTGCATCAGTTTGAAACTTAAGGTTCACAATTTGACACTTAAAGTGCATAAGTTTGAAACTTAAGGTACATCAGTTTGAACCTTAAGGCGCATAAGTTCGACATTTAAAGGTGCATAAGTTTGAGACCTGGCGTCATGAATTTTATCACTTTCTAGTATTCACCTCCTGCGTGGTAATAAAATTCTTTATATCCATTGGTTGTTCATTAATTCATCAATCTGATAAGCATATTTTACACTCCTATTTTATGTATATTTTTATAATATTTTTACATTAGTTATTTATAAATATTTAATAATTATTTCATCTTAGAATTTAATTAATTAATTAGTTAAATAAGTATTTTATAATAATATTTAGTTAATAGTAAGTTTTGAGCCTAATTTCTTAATTTTATTTTCCTAATTACTTTATGGCCAACTGTCCAATGCTTAGCACAACAACAAGACAAAATAAATATTTATGTTTTAATGTGTTTCGTACAGCACATTTGGCGAAACAAAAATAAATAGGAAAAACACTTCGTCGTCAACAGCACAAGCATCATCGACCGATTCATGCGGCAGAGCGGATGACCTCTTCACTTGGCAAAAGAGTAGGAAAATTGATGGTGCAAAATAAATCAAGAATTGTATAAATAGTAAAAGAATTTCATTTGTTCAACGTTCATTCTTCCCCTCTCGATTATTCTGTAAAGCTGTTATCAATGTCAATTCATTGCTAATTTCTTTAGCTTGGTTTAGTGAATTGAAGCCCCGGAATTGATTATGCTGTAAGATTATTTATTTGTTTTTATTATATATATTTTTATGCATTTGAGTATTAAATATTCTTCTAAGTTATTTGAATAGTTGTATCATTTAATTGCTAGGGAGGCCTACTAGTTATTTATTTAATATAATTATTAGTTAATGTTGTGCTACAAATTATTCTAATATTCAGTAGCAACTGAGGTTAATTATTGACGGCTTAGTGATAATTGGTCTCGGGTAGAATATTTTCCTAAATTAAATGCAACCGCTTGTGCTTGTGTTATTTAGTTTGTCGGTTTTCCTAGTTCCTATTGCTGCTATTAAATTAAATCTATAGCGCTTGTCTTAGGTTATTTAGTAGTTAGGGGTAATTAAACCGCGTGTGCTTTAGTTACCTACAACTAAGGGAAAACGGAAATGAAATAATTCCACGACAAATATTCAATTGCATATTAAATGCTTTATGAATCAATGATCAGTGTTAAATTCCGGTGGTGGATCTTCACTAACCAAGGTTTTCTATTCTGAGTGTTTTCAATATATTGTTTTCATTGCTTTATTTGTTTATTTGATTATCACCTTCATACCAAACCCCCATTTACTTTAATTTGAGCACATACATTAAACTAGTTACTCCTCGTGGGATCGATCCTTACTCCCGCTACTACGTTTGTAAGGTTTTAATTTGGGAGTCTACGACAGCTCACCACAATCCTACCACAAAGTTAAATTGTTAAAAAGGGAATCAACTCAATAGTCAAATACAAATAATATCCAATCAAATATTATCACATAAGGAGATGAATATTATAAGGTAAATTTAAGATGAAAGTGTAGTGTTAATCATATATTATTTTTGAAATGGTTTTTTAAAGCTTGTGTATTAAATTTCATTGATCAACAATAAATTCAATTTTTAAAATTTCAAAGTAAGTATTTATTTATTCTAATTTATCAACATATGCGATAAAATTGTATGGAGTATCATTTATGACTTTGTTTGATACTATAAGTCTATAACTATCAGATAATTGTACTTTTAATATAATGATATATAAGTATCTTTTGGAGATTTTAATTTTAGAACATCACAATTACTACACGAATGCATTGCACACATCCATGCGTGTCCTTCAAGCATGCCTAGGTGTAGTTGTGCATTCATGTAGAACATAGAGTGCATTTCAATTAGAAGTTCGCAGGTTCATATGAAAAGGTTTATTTGTTTTCGTTTTTAACTTTTCGTCTTCTTATTTTCTAAGTCAAATTTGTTATTCTTCACAATGTCACAATCACAAGTTCAACACATAATTTTTTGATTTAATTATTTATATTTTATAATTGGATATTTGTTTTTTTTTTTTATAATGAAATGCTTGAAAATTTTTGATTTTGTTTTTTGAATGCTTGGAATCTTGGATTATAATTTATTGAGTTAATTTTCAAAATGGTCCTTCGACTATGCTCTTTTCTCAAATTGGTCCCTTGACTTTTAATTTCTCCAAAGTGGCCTTCCGACTTTTGAATTTTAAGTCGAAATGGTTCTCTGTTAGCTTTGGCGTTAAGTTGGTGTTAAAATGAAACGTAAAACTGAAAATTTAGGTTTTGCAATCCAATTTAAAGCAATATGTGATTCCTTTTAACAATCTGCGCACATATTTATTCAAATTAGGTTTTTGCTCTCCTAAATTTGCAATGAAAATTTGGGATAATCAACTAGAATGCCAGAAATCTTTGACTTGGGAAGTTTGTGGATGAAGTTGAAGATGAACTTTTTTTTTTCTTTCTAGTTGATTATCTTACATTTTGATTGCAGATTTAAGAGGGCAAAAACCTAATATGAAGAAACATGTGCGCATACTGCTGAAGGAATCACAAATTGATTTAAATTGGAGTACAAAATCTAAATTTTCAATTTTACTCTTCACTTTAACACCAACTTAACCGCCAAAGCTAACGGAGGACCATTTTGGCTCAAAATTCAAAAGTCAGAAGGTCACTTTGAAAAAATTAAAAGTCAATGGACCAATTTAAGAAAAGACTATAGTCGAAGGACCATTTTAAGAATTAAGTCTAATTTATTTTATTGTTTTAACTTAAAATCTGTAATCCAATTTGAATAATATCCGTCAAATTTGCCATTGACGTATTGGATTTTCTCACCGCCAACGGATTTAGATGCGGATGGGTTCAAATCCACCTTTACAGAATTGGATGCAAATTCCTTCCAAATTCAGTCTAATCTGCTCCACATTCACCCCTCATTATTATTATATTATCTTTCTTTCTGGGAAATAATCTTTGACTGTGTAATTATATTTTACATCATTCAAAGATTCTACTACATTAAATGCTTCAGCAAATCATTAAGGTTAATGTACCAGATCTAGATGACCAACGAGATACGATTTTCATTCTTTTGTTTCTTTACACATGATTTTATTCTTCGATTTTTGAGAAAAAATAAGATGGAAAAATATAAAGAAAATTCCTTTCTTGGAAACTCAGACATTATATTCTAGCCTCAATCACATCCTCAAAATCTCTTTTTGAAAGTAGGAGATGCTACTTGACCCATCTTGTTCAGAGTGATACGATTCATAATCCGTTCACACTACTGAAAATTATGGAATTTTCGACCACTTGAAAGTGATCTTAAATTAAGTTGATATCAAAAAGTGGTCGGAATTAGCAACAAAGGTTTTTTCGGATATCAAAAGTGATCGGAACAAGGCTTTCGACTTGATTTAAGATTACTTTCAGGTGGTCAGAAATTCCATAATTTCTACTAGTGTCACATTATTAAACCAAAAAAAAAAAAAAAAAAATTTGAGCAAGTTCCATTACTTTTAAAAAGCTGGCCAGAGTTACTTCATTCTTACATACTACATAGACTTTTCCTGCAATCTTGTATCTAGTACAGCTAGTTTCACTCGAATTGAAGATCAATAATGTGTTTGGGATTGCTAAGGTTTCTGTTTCCGTTGATTCTGATCCTTGGAACCATTCCGAGAGAATCTGGTAAGAAACATATCATTGTGGATTTGATAGATGTGTTCTATCTCGACTAAAAGTTTAAATTGATAGATAATGAGTGCACCTTTATATTTTTTTATATTATATAATATATGTTGGAGATGTAGTTTTGTAGTGATAGATAATTGATAGGTAATTGTGTGATCAGATGGACAGTTTGAGGACTGGTGCATAGCAGATGAGCAGACACCAGATGAAGAATTGCAGAGGGCCGTTGATTGGGCATGCAGGAATGGTGCAGATTGCAGCAAGATAGAAGTGAACCAACCTTGCTATCTGCCCAACACTGTGAAGGACCATGCCTCTTTTGCTTTCAATAGCTATTTTCAGAAGATGAAGCACAAAGGAGGAGATTGCTACTTCAATGCTGCTGCTCTCTTGACTGCCCTTGATCCAAGTAAGCCTACACCTAGCTAGTTTCATCTATGTATCATGAAAAACTTTTCCTCTGAATGGAGTTCAAGAGAGGAACTCCACTTTGTTGTAGAATTCGGTCTAGGCGGCCACATAGACGTTAAGCCTCCTTAGGTCAAGGGAATTTTACCCTTAGGCTGATATTAGTCAGCTGACCGATTAGTTAGTCGACTAGGCAGCGTAGCGCTCGAGTTGGCTAACTCGTCGTTCGAGTCAGCGAACTCGACTGAGTGTTTATTTGTATGCAACGTCTACATTGATGTGTTTTTCTTATTATTATTACTTGCGAGCCTAGGAGTTCTAGGCACTAGGCACTCCGGATGTCCGACTAGTGCCTGATGTCGGGGGCGAATTCACAATGAGGGCAGTAGGAGCAACTGCTCGCTCCCTCACCTTCATCTCCTTTATATATATTGTATGTATAAGTCCCATATATATACACGTTAAACGTCTATAACTAGTAATATACATAAATTTTTCAAAGGATGAACTAGTGTAGATGATAAGGTATATATATGATATAGTCGTTAATGCCATGGGTTTAAATCATAGAACATAAATTTTTTAAATTTCATTTTTTGCCTTTTTAAATATTAACAGTGAGATCATAATTTTTGATTTATGAGATTAATTTCTAATTCTAGTTCGATTCATTATTTGTAATTATATTGGGACTTTATTTTTTAATGTTAATAGTGAGATAAGTGACTTATAATGTGATTCATATTCGAACTATTAGGGGGTGTTTGGTTGGATGGAAGTCAAATTCCATAGAAAATGTTTTCCTAAAAGTGTAGGAAAATGTTGTTTTATGTTGTTTGGTTGGATGGAAAATCTTTTCCATAGGAAGTTGAATTCCTAAAGTTGAAGGAAAACAAAATCCTAGCAAGACATTGGTATTTTGTTTTCCAAAGGATTTGGGAAGAAAGTATTACAATATTGGACTATTTTACCCTCTTCAAAGTTTATTAATTACACATGTATATATTATTGTTAAGGACATATTGGTCTTTATATTCATAATTCCTTACCATTCCAAACCCAACCAAACAATAGAATTCATATTCCCAGTAATTTCTTTTCCACCAACCAAACAATGGAATCCATTTTCCTGGTTTGTTTTCCATGGAATTTGAATTCCATTTCCCATCAAATATTTTCCAGCGAACCAAACGGGCTGTTATATGTAATTAACTATGTTTCATATTTTTTTGAATATTTTTATTACATTTTAATATATTTTTATCCCTAGTCAACAATATTATATTATTTATGGTTCGGCATCCATGTGTTTATTTATTTATTTATTTATTAATATCTCATTTGTTAATTTTAATCTTTCGTCCTCACTGAAAAAGATTTATTGATCCACCCCTACCTAACGCCTTACAAGAGTGCTTCAAATTAGTTAAAATTAAACAATATGATTATTCAATATATATTAGGATATTTATTTTATTTTTTACAATGACAGGTCATGGCTCGTGCAAATTTGAGGTTCTTCCTTGAATCAAGCGGATCGGAGCTTCTTCCTCAAGTGTCAATGAATCTAGCTTCCTATCATGTTCTGCTGATGATCTCTCCCTTGCTTGTCTGTTACTTATTTCCTGGAATGAATAAAATTACTTCAAAGCTTCAGAGACCATCCACCCACATGTTCACTACTTTCTGTAGTTCTAGTAGGGAACCACAGAATTTAAATTTCCGTATTCGGTTCACAATCCTAAAATTTAAAATTCTTTATATAATAAAGCTATATGGTTTGAGAAATAACTAATGCTACAATTAATGCCACAACATCTTTTATTATATAAAAAAAAAAGCACAACATTTAAAAAATAAAATAGCTATATATTATATAATCATATAAAAAAATATACTTTTGAAAAATAAAATAACTATATATTATATAATCATATAAAAAATGTGTTCAATTAGAGTTTAAATTTACACATACAAAATTTGAAATTTGCTTTCTAAATGTAATTATCTTAGTTATTATTCGTATTGTGAAAATTAGATGAAATACAATTAAGAATAAATCAATGTAATTATGTAAATTCTCTCTATAAGTTTATTTGAATATGTACATAATTAGAGATTATATTAACCATACAAAATAATAATTTTAATTTTAATTGTAATTTTGTATTCTATAAAAATAATAAATACTTGACCAATGGAAGCTCAAAAATATTATTATATTAAATAATTTATAATATTTTAGTTTTTTTATTTTTATTTATATTTAAATAATATAATTTTTTTCCCATGCATCGCTCGGGTGAATTACTAGTTTTATATATATATATATATATATATATATATATATATATATATATATATATATATATATATATATATAACGAAAGATCCCCACACTCACATTAAAAGATTTATCCGTTCTTGTGGCATGATCCGACAAGAAGGTGTGTCAAATGAGGTGATACGCTTGAAGCTATTACTATTTTCGATCAAGGAGAGGCATCAAAGTGGCTAGATTCTCACAATATGATAACCATTTTAACTCATGGGCTCAACTCCATAAAGAGTTCATGAACGAATTCTTTTCAATCACAAAGATTATATATGAAGGCGAAAAAGCAAGTTCAAGACTTCAAACAAGGTTCCATGGAATCCTTGGGAGAGGCTTGGAGGCGCTTTAAATCTCTCAAGAAACAATGTCGACCGGATGTACTTCACCCTGGAATGTCATTAGTTCTTTCTATGGAGGACTAAATGATGAGAGCAAAATGATTAGAGTTGATTGGAAAATGAAGGGGAAAAAACATTAAAATAGCCTTTGTCCCACATTGAAAAAACGAGGGGATTTGCACCACTATGGGTGTGTTTGGTTTATGGGTTCATACACTAGAAATGGTAATCAAAATCATAGTTAGTGTTTGATTGACAACTTTTAAAAACACAACTATGTGTTTTGATTTCTCCTTCAATTAAAAATTACAAATACTTTTAAATTTTTGTTTAATATTTTTTTTTTTCTTATTGATACTTTGGATATCATTATATCAGGCGCTGATACTACTAGACCAGCTTCAGAGAGACTTGATCAGGCGAGATCATCAATTCAACACAATATAATAAAGTGATAAACTGATTTAATATGATGAGAATATCCCTCTGAATGTTACCACTGAAATCCGTGAAATGAAATGATAGAAAATCCATCCTTTTATAATATATATGATGTAAGAACCTCCCTTTACTCAAGTCGACCAAAATTCCCTTAATAAAAGTTGTCCACATAATTTAAACCAGGCTTAATAATAGTTCAAACCAACTTAAATGGTTAGGGAAATCCGTTGGAAGAATTACGCTGACCCTGATCTATCGTAAACTAACAGAGGCCGTGCCAGAATACATAAACAGATCCTGATTGAAGACGGTCCAAATAATAAATCTAATTAAATTTGACAAATAAATTAGCTAATTATAATAAGATTTAAACGTGTATCATTTGTACACTTACAATCTCCCCTTTTGACAATTTATTTGACAAAACTAAAGCCATATATACTTTGGGCATAATTTCATTAATAAGTAGACCTTTGTTAAAACCTATAGGTTAGAATTATAGAAGGAAATTACCAAAAATGCTTGAACCGTTACTTCATCCATAAAAGATAATCCAACGATCAATATTGTAAGTGTAAAATAATTTACACATTAAGTTATTGGCTATTTTATTTAGTAAATAGTTTTATTGTTTTTAATAAATTAGAGTTGTTAAAGTTAATTATATTTTTGGACCATGTGATATAAATATATGAATGTTGTGCCTTGGAGTATGAAGTCAGCATGTGAAGATGTCAAAGAAATAAAATGTGTGGCAGTGGTTTATTCTAACAAGGAAAGGCAGTGGTTTATTCTAACAAGAATAAGTGGTGGTGATTCATTTGAACACGTGGTGGCTAAGGAAAAAGCTATTGCTAAGGATCCTAACTAATGGTTCAAGAAGTGCTATAAATTCACACGGTTCGAAGGAAGCATTTGCCCAACTTTGAGAATTATACACTGCTAGAGCTCTCTTGATTTTACAAAGCAATTTATATTTTGAATGTAATTTCTGATTTAATTTGTAAGAATATTTATATTGTACTGCATGATCAGTACGTGGTACTGCTGAAGCATCTTGTGAAGATTGTTCGGGTATTCGTGTGTCAATCCTGGATAGGTGTTAGAAAGAGTGGTAGTGGTAAAGGCTGGAGGCCATCTGTATTTTACCTCTTGTAATACTCCTTTTGGTGAACATCTATAGTGGATTGGGCAGACGTGGGTTGCCCCGCAGACGTAGGAGAAGGAGCTCCGAACTGCGTAACATTTCTTTGTGTTTTTATTTTATTTATGCTTTCTGCAGTTATTATTTATTCTTGCATAAACAAGTTTAATTAATTAACTAAACTGGTGCATAACACAATTATCTTATAAAAACACATAACGTTTATTTTTCAAGTATCACGGTACAATTTCAATTGGTATCAGAGCCTGTAGACTTAATCTATTAGTCTTTCGATCTGGCTAATCCGTGTATCTTGATTTTATCTCTTCAGCGGCTCTTTTTATTTATCAGTTTATTATTTATTTGTTTGATCTCACAGGGTACTGAGTATTGCAGAATGGATCGAATTAAAGCCCTTCCCCAGTTGACCGGCGACAACTACGCATATTGGAAGGCTCGCACCCGTACGCATCTAAAAGCTAAAGGTGAAGCTGTATGGCAGTCTGTGGTGTCAGGTTGGACACATCCCACTAAACCCAGTTCCAGCACTGATGGAACAGAAGTCACTGAGCCAGAGACTGAGTGGACTCAAACAGAAATAACCAATGCAGGAAACAATGATAAAGCCTTAGACACAATTTATTCTCTTATGCATGAAAGTCAGTTTTCAATTGTTGCAGGTATTCCTTCAGCTAAAGGTGCTTGGGAGGCTCTTGAGTCTACATACGAAGGAACTACCTCGGTAAAACAGTCAAAGCTGCAACTGGTCCAGTCAGAATTCGAAGAACTGCACATGAACGAGGATGAGACAGCCATCGACTTTCATACACACATACAGGAACTGGCAAATCGCGCAATGGTCCTTGGTGAACCATTCTCGCAAGAAAAACTTGTCAAGAAGATACTGAGATCTTTACCGCCCAGGTTCCGAATGAAAGTCACAGCCATCCAAGAGCATGATGGCTGGGAGAAAAAATCTGTTACTCAGCTAATGGGAAATCTTAAAACATATGAAATGGAGATTTTAACTGATCATACGAAAAAACAAAAAAATATTGCTTTTGCCGCTGAAGAAAATAATGTAGTATCCGATACAGATGAAACTAGTGATGATACAGTTGCTTTCTTAACTAAACAGTTTTCCAAAATTTTGAAACAGGTATCCAAAAACACACGCAACAGAAATTCACAAAAGGGAGCAACGTCATTCAAGACTGCACCTAGGACATGGGCGTCAAACTCCAAACAGTCTATCTCACGTCCAGGACAGTCCAAAGAAAGGTCCAACAACAAAGGCATCAAGTGTTATGAATGCGAGGGATTTGGACATGTACAAGCTGAGTGCGCCACCTATCTTCGACGAAAAAAGTCTATGTCAGCCATTACCTGGAGCGATGACGAGCCCGACGTTGAACCAACTGGGTCAGATGTCGAGGAAATTTCGGGTAATTTTGTTGCATTTACGGCACGATTGACTGACAGTTCAGAACCTGTTGAAGAATCAGAAGGTGGTGACTATGTCTCTGCAGAAGATGTGGAACAAAATGCTTTATCTTTTGAAGCTGAATTTAATATGTTGTATCCCAAATGGGAAGCATTAAGAAAAATGAACTGCAAACTAGCTAGTGAAATAGAGATTGTAACCAATGCAAATAAAGTATATCAAAATCAAGTAGCTGATAGGAATATATTGCTTAAAGAAGCAGCTGATCGAGAGGAAAGACTACAAAACGAAGTACAAACTGGAAATGTACTACTTAAGGAGGCATCCGACCGAGAAGAAAAACTCCAGCAAGAAGTACAGACCTTGAAACAGGAGCTCAGCACCTACAAACGACAAATCCAAATGATGGATACCACTTCAACACTTGATAAGATTCTTGATTCTGGCAGAAAGTCTTCTGCAAAATTTGGTTTGGGCTTCACTGGAATTAACTCAAAAGATAAGACTGTATTTGTCAAAGCATCCGAACCTGATCCAGACGACATCCCTGAATCCAGCACTATGAAACGCCCCTATGGTAAAGTAAGCGCAAATAAGATGCATTATAAACTATATAATCCTGTTTGTCACTATTGCAGGTTACGCGGTCATACCAGACCCGAATGCTACTACTTCTATAAGGATCAAAGAACTGAGAAGTTCAGGCAAAAGAACATCCGGCCTTTAACAAAACAAATTTGGGTTAGGAAAACTGACTTCGTATCTCAATCAATTCCAATAACATCTCAAGGATGACAAAATAATTGGCAAACATGCTGATTAAGGATTCCAAATAAGAGTAACAGGTAAGTCAATTTACCTTTTATTTTAATTATTTTATCTTATAACATTTGCTAATGTTTCAGGAACAGGTTTATTATATCTTAAATTATACAAAGGCTTTTTTAATCCTTCAAGAATTCAAT